ACCAAACATTATTGACCTTGATTGTCTTTCAAGATCCATCCACTATTCACCCTTTGATACTCTTAAAAAATACATAACACAAAATGTAAATAACGGGTTGTGAGGGACAAACAAATTAAAACGATATCATTTGCAGATGCAAATGTTAACATGTCAATGTTAGGAGAGTGAGATATGATTATCGACTATCGACAGACTCTTCAGAGATGGCTCCCTAGAACAGAATCCCATCACACCATCCAGTCATTTTAGCTTTTCCCTTCTTCAGTACAACGTCCAATGAAACAACTTCATGCCTCGTCCAACATTGAATTACACTGTCTTTGCTACTCAATGCGTATTGCAAGTTCGTAACTGATGCATTAATTTGACACATTAAAATATACATCGTTGTCATATTAAAGATATACAGGAATGGTACATGGAACAGCGGGTATATATAGAGGGTGACTCAGAAATAAGTGCAAAAATTTTAACCATGCTTATCAACAGTACTCTTGATGCGTCTTTTCGATCGTGCCAGATTGTTTAACAAATGAAAGCTGTAGCTCTGAACATCAAGAAAAACGTGGTCATTATAAAATGGGGTACCAGCTATGGCCAGCCAGATCACCAGGTCTTAATTCTTGGGACGTCTTTTTATGGAGCTGGATGAAAAACTTATTCTTTAAACACCACAACACAGGCGAAGAACAGTCCACTGATATAACTAGGGGAAAATTTTGTTTGCACGTGCAGATTCTTGGTGCCCAACTTTGCGTCAACTAAGCTGGCAACCATTTTGAAATTTTTGGTAGAACGGTTCATAATAAGTTCTACACGCTATAAAAATTATGTCTCAACTATTCTAAAGATGTTTCATACCCCATTAGACCTAAATAAAAAAAAAATTGAATGTAAGGATATGGAACATCTTGTATATATTCCATTTATTTATATATGTCTAGAAATTCTAGAAATAATCTATAACCTTATACAGCGTGTCCCACTGTAATATCTGGAAGCGGGAAAAGTTTTTTATTTGTGGGTTTATGACAAAGTCACTCTTTGTAAAAACTCCTGCTTGTTCCAAAACGGTCAAAACTATTAAAATATTTGTCATTTTTTATACAGGGTGTTCAGTATTTAGAAAAATATCATCACCAAGAGTAAAGTACCGTTATTTTTGACAATATCGAAAAATATTATCAGGGATGTCATTTAGGATCCACAGGGGATTAAAATTTTTTTAATTTTTTTTTAACAATGCGGGCAGCTAAATTGTATGTACCACTTTATTTGATTTTTGCAAAATGTATGCAATAATCAATTTCTTTAATTTTATTTTTATTAAGTCAAGTAAGTAGAAGGACTCTCAAGCTTTCAAATGCTTTTTGAAAAATTCGAATCCGTCAATTAGGAGAGCTCTGGCGCTTGTTTAAACATTGGTCGAATTTTTGTATCGTGTAAAGATACATAATTAATTAGGAAGAAAAATATGATATTTTTCAAATTTTTTTAACATATTGTGCCGTCAAAAGTTAAGCTCACTTTTATTTTGTGCACATAGAAAAATTTTCATTTCTATTGATATTTGTAAGCCAAAAAGCCAAAAATCTTAGTGGATATACGATTCACCCAAATATGGACTTTTTGAAACAGATACCGTCTGGACTATATCGTTTAGGTAGTTTAAGAGAAACGGACTTAGTAACAGCAAATAAGAATGCTGGTTCAAGTTTCCCTTTATAAAATAGTGTGCAACTATTCCAAAATAAGAAACGGCACACGTTAACTTTTTTTGAATACTGTCATCTACAATTAATCTGAAAATTAGGATTTTCCGAAGCCCAGTATCTACAATTTTGAGAGCTAACTATTCCATTCGTGAAAAAAGGTTGCCTCATCCGAAAAAATAATATAGTGGGAAAAATGTCTGTTTTCGAGATTGTGCTCACCCACCCATAAACAAAATTTTCCATCCTTTTAGAATCATCCCCTTTTTCTAGTGTATAGACAAACTTTGGTTTATAAGGATGTATTTTATTTTTTTTAACAATCTGCAAACGAGACTTACTAACGTTTCCAATTTCTGAAGCTCTTTTTCTTAAAGATGTTTTTGGGGCATTTCTTATTGATTTTGTTTATAAATTTTGATCTAATCAATATTTTTTGACGCTCAAGGGCTAGTTTTGTAGGTCTTTTGAAGACGAAAAAAAAGTACTTTACTGTTTTCTCGTGGAAATGAACGGAAAAAGTTATAAGCGAAATCGTAAATTTACGTAAAAATTATACAAAATTATACAATCTTCCCCCCATTTTTATGACCTTGGTTTTAATCAACTGCTACACAGGGAAACTATTAAAAAATAATTTAGTAAAAAAAAAAATTGTTTTTCTATGACAAAGCGTGTTATTTTAGTTACCATATTTTTTTAAGTCAATGTGGACAAAGCGCCAAACATTAAAAAAATTGTTTTTAAAAATTTTTTAATTTTTACATGATTTATTATTTGTTATTATAAATAATTATTTTTGTTATTTTAAAAATCTCACAATAAAAAATAAATGAAAATACTAATGTGATTAATATGAAAACATTCAACTTTTTTCAACTTTTTACAAACATATATGTGCAGGCGATGCATATGTAAGAAATATGCTTACAAAGGGGGGTAGCCTCCGCTGTTTTGTTTACATGCCGATGTTGTAGGTGTTCTGATATCAGGAGTAAACGAGTTAAAAACAAACTGCCACGTTAATTTGGCGGAACGTGATTGGCCAAATATATCGTCTCCTACATTCTTATTCAGTATTCGACTATATCATTTTGTGGAAAGCTGTTCGTATAGTACCTTTGTGTGATGTAAGTGTACAACCATATAAAGTTATTTATTTCAGTGTTTAGTGATTGTACAGTGTATTGTGTTTTCCATTTTCAAGTTTTTAAGTGATATTATGAAAAAGCATCAACAAAGAGCTGGTATGATTAGAGTCTACTTCCGATTCTACTGTAAGAAGACGATATCAGATAGATTATTCCAAAGAGCAGTACCAAACACGGGTGATGTGAAATTTGCTTTTTAATAATCATTTCTTTAAATTATGAGATTTGGCAACAATGCATAGCCAAGTTGTCAATTGTGCATGTGCTGCGAATAACACGCGCCATTGTTTCAGATCACACTAGATTGTCCAGAGACAGGGTATTAAAGTTATTAAAAAAAGGTTTAAAAAAAATTAAGTTTTCACGAGTTTAAAAAATAAACTATTGATACGTGTTTGTAAAGGTCAAAGGTAGTCTCTATATAAATATGACCCTCACTCAAAGTTACACCCTGTAGAATACAAATTTATACAGATCTAAAAGAAATTAAATTTTCATGCAAGTTGCCTATTGCCCCTGTAACAAAGATTTTTGTGCCGTGATCTTTCTAATTTAAATTAAAACAGAAATTTGGATATTTATTTAGGAAGGCAAAATAATCTGGAGTTTTTGATGATTTGTCCTGAAAAAAAAAACTTCTAGACAAAACATTTCATAACCTAATTAATGTATAATGTATAATTTAAATTACACTTCAAAATTATTGTATTATTTCTCTTAGTACAAAATAAGTTTTGGCAGGGTGCAAAATTCAAATCTTGCCCTGGGCACTCATGTCCTTAACTGACTCTAGCCAAAAATGACATTATTGAAAGATGTGAATTTATAAACATAAACATTTTGAATCGTATATCTACATAGGGCCAAAAATTCAAATTCGCTCAGGACCTGATTTTGTATAATTTCAATACATATTTTCTTATTTATACAGGGTGACATAGAAAAAAGTACATTGCATAGTGCCACACAATAGAGGACACTAAAATAAGAAAAAAAGTTCCTATGAACATGGGTCTTCAAGGCCTTCGGTTAAAAGATACGGGGTGTTGAATTTTATTTTTGTTTGGGTTTTTTTTTGAATATCTTTAGCCAGAGACGCAAGAAATGGATAAAATGTGGTATACAGGGNGGAAAAATGTATTGAAGTACAAGGGCAACAATTTGAACATCTTCTAAAAACTTAATGTTTTGTTTTAATTAATCATATTTTTCATCATACCATTAAAATTTAATTGTTGAAGTATTTATCATTGTTTTTGCAAATAAAAAAAAATTAAAATTCAACACCCCGTATCATTTAACCGAAGGCCTTGCGGACCCATGTTCATAGGAACTTTTTTCTTGTTTTAGTGTCCTCTATTGTATGACACTATGCAATGTACTTTTTTCTATGTCACCCTGTATATTTAGCTATTCTGTTTTAAAATAATTTTAAATCCATGCAAGTGCATTTGCGCTTATATAAATGATGTAGTTTACTTTAAAAAAACCGTCATTATTATCCCACTTTAAAGTATACAGGGTGATTTCACTTTAAATACAGAAACTGCAGGACTAGATTCATTACCAACAAAATAAGTAGGATTTGCTCTAGAAACTTTTTCCTGCAAGACTTGGTATTCGAAATTCAGGGTAAAAATTTACAAAAAAAAAAAAATTCTTCCATATCTAAATAATGCGCTAACGGATGGAAATGAAATTTACTACACATTACTTAATTTTCAATTTTCATTAATTTAACGCAACAGTATTTGAATTTAAGATTATTTCTAAAAAAAAAAACACCAGTGGCGTATTGTCTTCTGGGAAAACGGAGTGGCACTTTCAGTAGCACGCCACTGGTTAATGCTATGATTGCCGTGAGGTTAATATTACATTCAATAAAGTGCTAATTAAGTAAATAAGCTGTAGTAAATTTCATCATCAATTCAGCGCATTATGAAGGTATGACAGAAAATAAAAATTTTTTTGGAAACTTGAACACCCTGTATCTCGAATACCACGTCCCCCAGGAAAAAGTTTATAGAACTCTACTTATTTTTTGGCAACTAATCTATCCCTGCAGTTTCTGTATTTAAAGTGAAATCACCCTGTATATGCAATAAACTACCTAATTTTTTTTCAACTTTCTTACCTTGCCCAATCATTTACTTCAGTTTTTATGTCAACTTCTTCAGTTTTGATCAGCGATTCTTCTGTCTCTACCTCTTTTTCGGTTTTAATTGAGCCTTCCATTCGCTGTTCATCTCTCAGCAGTGATTCCTCTGTTTCACTTTTAAAGAACATATCGCAGGGCTCGGAATCTGTGATTTTGTTATCATGTACGTTGGGAATTTTCGTTTCAACGTCCAAACAGGCCTTTATAAAAGCATCATGAAGGCTGAGTGAATCAAAACATTGTCTACAAATGACGGGATCTTCGGTGATGCCAAAATTCTACAACACAAGAGTTTGTAAAAATATTGATTTACGTTTTTTAGCTTTAAAATGTGTGTGAAATGGATATTTACCACTTCTGGGATGTATCTTTGCATTATCTCTAACTTTACTTCATAAAATGTTACAAATCCTTCGCTAACTAACTGCAAACATAATCGACATATTTTCTGATCATCTTCCATTTTAACTGACGGTTTGCTCTCGTGTTCCATTGAATAAACATCTCTTAAATCAACGTATAACACTTCGGGATTAACATAAGAAACAATCTTGTCCTCGACATAGAGACAAGTGGATTTAAAGTCAAATGCAGAGTACACTTTAAGAGAACATGAGGAACACATGACATGTTTATAGTTGTCATCAAAGTTCTGAAAATTTTTTCATTATAAAACAATTTATTTTTATTAACATATGCGTTTACATAAAGGTAAGCTGAATTATTTTAAATATGTTAAAAATTAATAATATAGTTTTAAATAAACACCTTACCAGATTCAGTGAAACTGTCTTTAAAATTTCTCTTGTAGAATCATCAATTATTGTAAAATTTCCAATGTTTACATTATTTCTGCAAAAGCTGCAAAATATTCCTTTAGAATCTTCCATTTATATATTTTTTCCTTTTTGATTATCCTAAACATAACATAACCTAATATATATGTCAAATGTCGCGTTCACAAATTACAGAACCTTGACTGTGGCGTGCTACCACAGAATAAAATAGATAATCCCCTAGCGCTCCATTTAATTCAACCAATCATCAAGCTGTATTCATTCGCTTCAATTTTATCTCATAATAAGTGCTTTCCAATTGTAATAGATCCTGAAGTGTTCTTCTACTCCTCTCTAAATACATACTCCCTTCGAGCATATACTACTGGAGGTAGCATGCCATTGCGAAAAATGTGGCTGAGTGTGCGAGAGAGATAGAGTGTATCTCAGTTAATGCTCTCACTCTAGCATGCCGCGATTGGTTGGAGCATTCATTTCCAACCAATCGCGGCGTGCTAGAGTGAGACCGCTGTACTGAGGTACTTTTTGTCTCTCTCGCACACGCAGCCACACTATTTTCAATGGCATACTACCTCCAGTAGTATATAGTATACAGGGTTGCCGATTTGCGGGTAAAAACCCAAAAACCGGGTATTTCAACATAGTCATTGGGTAAAAAATAAAAGCGGGTATTACCGGGTATTTTTATTTTAAGAAAAAAGTAGAAAACATTGAAAATATGATACGAAGTATGCTGTCATATGCATCTTGTAAGTAGTGACATCTAGCAGTGGAAAAAAAAACTGTTTCTTTCTCCAAATAATTTGTTTCTTGTAGTATTTATATTTGAGTTCACTCAGTGAACTTCACTGGTATCTGTTTTACTGACGCATTCGATGTCTAGAGAGGGAACTGATTCGGGTAAATGTATGGCAAAATAAATAAAAATAAAACACTTCGATTTTTTACTTTAATTTCATTGCCTATTAATTTTAATCCTAGGGTAAATATTCGGGGATTTTAAAGTAATGTATCGGGTAAAACCGGGTATTTTTTAAATTTGCCCCGGGGACTTCTGAAAATCTTGTTGGCAGCACTGCTCGTATGGCCACAGCTGCAGAAATGCAGTAATATTTCGTTCGTGGTATTTGGCGGACACGTGTGAATATTTTCGTTTGGGCGTCTACGGATATTATATTA